GTATTTTTAGTAGACAGCGTTTCACCATCTTGGTCAGGCTGGTCTCAAACTCCTGACCTTGTAATCTACCTGCCTTGGCCCCCACAAAGTACTGGGATTACAGGTGTGAGCTACCTCGCCTGGCCAGAGATAGGCATTTTTTTTTTTCTCCTTTTCCCTGCATATCTCAGTGGATAGAAAGGGCAAAGATAAGAAAGCCCTGGCCTGCTATGAGATCAGTGAGATGGCAGGCAAGGATGTTTCAGCCTCATGGGGAGGCTGGTCCTGCCAGGGTTTCAGTACTTTATTTGCTGTCAAGCTACTTCAGGTGCATTAGTGACTCCCTGATGTTAAACACCTGCTAATTAACAACAGCTGCAATTGCCTCACCTAGGGGTACTGACACCTGGGCTGGGAGTGCTCCATCCCAGGAGAGAGGAGGGCATTAGCGAAAGCTACAGGCTGGTGGGGGAACTGTGCAAAGAAATAGTGCCCTGGTGGGTGAGGTGTCCTGTACCCTCAGGACTAGCATGGTGAGGGTTCAAATTCCAGCTCTGACGTTTGCAAGCAGTGTGTGCTTGGGGAAGCGCCTTCTCCCAGAAACTGGTTTATTGTCTCTGATGTGGACCTAGTACCTCAAAGAGTTGTTACAGCCTTAGATGAGATAATGCCTGCAGAGCTCAGTGCAGAGCAGGCTTATTGAAATCCTCAACAGCTGGCTGAGCAGTGTGTTGGAGGGAGTTGTGATAAGGTAGCAAATCTGGTGTTTCTCATTCATGTCTATCCTGCCTCAGTTTCTCTTGGTGGCCTCCTTGGAATATACTGATGGCTGCCTCGGGGGCCAATCTTACCTTGGGGCCTTAACCCATTCTGTGTCTTAGTCTACCAGTTTGAAGAATGCTGGGATGGAATAAATAGTTTTCTGATCACTAGACCAAAGGTCCAGGGCACTAGGGAAGTCCATGGTGTGGCTCTTTTGGAGGTTTGGGGTAGCGGTGGGGAGGGTGCCGGCATAGGAAAGAAGGCATCTGAGTTTGGCGGGGCTTCTTGGAAAATGTGAGCTCTGAGCCTCCATTTGAATTCCCAAGGTCTATCCACAAGGATACTCCCATGTCAACTTTTTTTTTTTTTTTTTAATTTTACTTTAAGTTCTGGGGTATGTGTGCAGAATGTGCAGGTTTGTTACATAGGTATACATGGGCCATGGTGGACCTATCAACTCATCATCTAGGTTTTAAACCCTGGATGCATTAGGTGTTTGTCCTAATGCTCTCCCTCCCCTTGGCCCACCCACTGAAAGGCACTGGTGTGATTTTCCCCTCTCTGTGTCCATGTGTTCTCATTGTTCAACTCCCATTTATAAGTGAGAATGTGTGGTGTTTGGTTTTCTGTGCCTGTGTTAGTTTGCTGAGAATGATGGCTTCCAGCTTCATCCATGTGCCTGCAAAGGACATGAACTCATTCTTTTTTATGGCTGCATAGTATTCCATGGTGTATATGTGTCACATTTTCTTTATCCAGCCTATCATTGATGGGCATTTGGGTTGGTTCCAAATCCTTGCTACTGTAAATAGTGCTGCAATAAACATACATGTCATGTGTCTTTATAGTAGAATGACTTATAATCCTTTCGGTATATACCCAGTAATGGGATTGCTGAGTCAAATGGTATTTGTGATTCTAGATCTTTGAGGAATCACCACACTGTCTTACACAATGCTCGAAATAACTTTTAATGAAAGGTCTGACTGAAGGTGGTAACCAGAAAAACCCTGGTGCACAGGGTTTCACCATCTCTCTGACACATTTCTCTCCACTGCAGGCTCTGATTTGATCCTCAAAATAGGCCTGTGAGGTGAGTGCGAAGGAGAAGTGGAGGAATTTGTCGTTCAAAGGAATGGAAGTAGCTCCTGTCCCTACAGATGACTTATGGTTTAACTCTATCAGCCACACAGCTTTTTTCCAATAGATTCCTTTTTTGGCTTACGCTAGAGTAGCTTCAATGGCTACACACACACACACACAAACATACACACAAATGTTAACTGACAACCAGTAATGGAAAATCAGTTGACTATAGTAAAAGAATCTTATTTCACTTGAAGCCACAGGGTTGAGATTGCAAAAACCAAACTCAGGGATAGATATTGCTGTTGCTGAATTATCATGTCTCACCAGACTTCATGTGAAGGAAAGCATTTCAGATGGTTTCCACTAACAGGAGGAGCAAATCTTGGAGGGTCTGGAGACGTCATCACACCCACATTGACTGTCCTGTCTTGACCTGTTCGTTGGTCTTTACTACCAGCTTTGAATAGACCACAGAACATGAGAAATTCTTGCATTAGTTTTCTGTAGTTGCTGTTTCGAATTACCATAAACTCATTGGCTTAAGGAAACACATATTTGTTATCACACAGCTCTGTAGGTCAGAAGTCTGACCTAAGTCTCTAAGGGCTAAAATCAAGGTCTTGGCAGAGCTATGTTCCTTTCTGAGGGCTGTAGGAGGTAAGAATCTGTTTTCTTGCCCTTTTTCAGTCCTGGAAACTTCCCATATTCCTTGGTCTGTGGCTCCCATCCACCGTCAAAGCCAGCAATAACCAGTTGAATCTGCATCGCATCGCATCGCATCATCACCCTGCCTCTTCTTTTGCCTTCTTCTTCCATATGTAAGGACCCTTGTGATTGTATTGGGCTCACCTGGATGATCTTCCTATTTTTAAGGTCGGCTGATTAGCAACCTTAATTCCATCTGCTCCCTTAATTCCCCTTTGGCATGTAGCTAACTTATTCACAGGTTCTGGGGATTAGAATGTGACTATCTTGGGGGTGGGGTTGGGATGGAGAGGTATTAATCTCCCTAACAGTTCTCCAGCGGTTCCAGGCTACAGTTAAGTTATTAAATACTTTGTTATTTGACCTTTTGGGATACTCTACAGTGCCTTGGATAAGCCCTGATTGGAAAAATCACAGTGGAGCTCCTTAAATGTTGGAGAATCAGCAAGTCATTAAACTTCTTTTGTGAAATGGACAATTCTTTTATAAAATGCTGAATATCTAATCAGAGAAGGTAGATAACCATGTAATCTGAGCTGTTTAGGGGTTATTGATTGATTTAGCCATGAACTTAGGTTTTCTGAAACCTAACTAGAAGTGCTATATATGGAAACAAAACTTCTCAAATAGGTCTTGGATAAGGTATCCATGAAGGCCTGCACTGAGCCTGTGAATGGGTTCAACAATGTGGGTCAAGCTTGTTCTGGAAGTCATTGCTATTGATTCTGATTTCCCAGCAATAGCAACAAACTTGATGCTTCTGGTTCTAAAGAACTCTGAAAGGGCTGATATCTTTCCTTGCAAGCTAACTATTTAGTCTGTCACAGTTTCATGAATGCTGGCAGAAGACATGAGACTCCTGGATCAGAGAAAAAAAAGACTATTACTCACAGCAGG